AGCAGGAAAGAAATGATTCCAATCTCTTACAAACAGTGCAATAAACCCAGTGATATGCTTACACACAACTGACTTCTACTGGATAGAATTAGGAATGATCTGACTGTACATCATAAGCCTCATAAAATGAGGGCTCAACTTTTCCTTACCCTAAATTGCAAATTAGGTCAGGAAGACATGAGCTATACCTCAAATGTTTTTATAAAGTGCTATCTGGGTACCCCATGCAGTATTATTTCAAACACGTAGATCTAAAGGACTACAGATTTGTCATAATATGCTGCAGTGACTACTGAAGGCTCAGCAAAGGTTGGCATTTTTTTGCAAGTATGAGCTAAAGAAAATTGTACCAGAAACATAACAGATCCTTTAAACTAATTCCTTAAAAGAAGGAATTTTCTAATACAGATAAGGGAGGTTTTCCTATGTTGGAACAAGTCAGATACTGTCTCTGAATTAAAGACTGATTCTGTTACCAGATTTAAAGTTCATCATTTCTGTTGTGAACCGGTAATTGGTGATTGTGAATTGAGCAAGCTGCAGCTTATCCAGCCCATGGATCTCCTCCTGGTTTTCTGACCAGTGGTAGACAATATCCTCTGAAGAGTAGCCATCTGCCAAAAGGAAATCTGAATAAACACAAAGTTTTGGGAAGAAATTTAATATGTAGAGGGTTCAGAGAGGAACTCCTCACATTCCTCTGCCAATCTGATTTTCATCAGTCGCATTGCAAACATGCTGAGATTCAGTCTGCATAATTCACTGTCCTGGCAACATCAGTTTTGCCAGGATAACCACAGGGATAGCTTTCCAACAGGGAGAAAAAATCAAGTTGATTCACACAAACTGACAGTAAGTGGCATGGTACAACACATTCAGTGCCATGAGAAATATTCAAGTTAGCTCTCAAAACTCATTTACATATTCAAAGTAGATTAACTGTTACTTTAGCACTCAAGCTAGGCTACTTACCTCTGCAATGTGCCTGGATCTGAGAGTCACAGGAATTGGAACTGACTGGAAAAGAAAATAACTACCAAATCTAATGTCACCACCCTACTGAAGGCAGATCAGAGTGTAATTATGTAATGCAAATCTGTTTCTACTTTCACCCATTGATTTTATGAGATAGGCAGTCTTTGTGCCTGTCAGGTAGTACAGAGGAAACAGAGTTCTCTTGTCAGGGATTTCTCCACTGTCCTCAACAAGCATGCATCCAGTTTACTGGCTACTGTGTGTCTCTCCTTGCAAGCCCCGCAACACTTAAAAAAAGATGCACCCAACAGGAAATTAAAATATGTACCTGAATTGTTCATAGGAGTCACCACTCCTGGAAACATTTGTCAACATCTCCCCTAGGCTTTAGGTAGTTTAATAAGAAAGCTATGTCTATGCAGTTAAGTTGCCTATGCTCCATCTTTCTGTCAGTCTCCTCCTAACAGCCTTTGAACTTCCTTAACATTTTCAAACTAATCTAACAGAAAGATGAAGGTTTCAAAGTTGCTAGATTCCTGCAAATTTTGTAAGGAATGGTGGGTGGAGAACACAAATTAGTGCATCCAATTAGAGAAAGGCAGTATAACTCAGACCCACATCCATTCAGAGATGCAGCAGCTAGCTTGCCAATCACCAAGCATATCAGCCTGTTAGTCACTGCAGTATCACATGGGAGGCAGCTGGAAGGTAACTGCTAGGAAGAGATACAGGGCACAGGGAGTATGAGATAGGGGTGGGAGATGTATGAGGGGATGTATATGATAGGCAAATCCATAGGAAATCAGTCTTTGTTAGTTTTTCTGTAATGGACAACTTGATACTTTAATTCATTTCTTTAAAGAGGCTTTATTCATATATTTATTGCATTGAAATCAAAATGCTCAAATTCAATTTAAAAAATCAACTGTCACCAAAACTTCCTGCAGCACTTGCTGGGAGAGAGAACTGATTGCTGGTTCATTGTCTGCTGCCTCTGCATTTGCTGATTACATAAGTAAAACTGTAGATTGCTATTTTTGACAGGATAAAATTGTATTGTGGTTAATTGCCTGGAAAACAGAGTCAGTGCTAAAAAAGAAAACGAGAAGCTTGCATCAGTGTGTCAGTGCATCTGTTCAGAAACTGCTATTCTCCAATCTGTGGAACCCTCAGGATCTCTAGTCTGCTCCTGATACAAAAACCACAAAAAGCCAAATTCATTGCTATTGATCGTATGGCCCCTGCTTGTGTCAGTGGTGAATTTCATTCAAAAGTATTAGTGCTTATGGGAATTACAAGCTGATTGTAGATAAAATAGAGGTTGGACAAAATATAAATTTATCCTTCACTCTCCCTTGTGAGCATGAAGCCAATTTATGCATAGTCTTCTAACTGATCCCTGTATAACAGATACAGAAATGCCTAGGCAAGCTAAGTAGATATGCCAGGGTTAGTCACTATCACATTCTTTAAGAGCAGGGAATGCTTTCCTCTTCATGTTTTCTCATAAAGGAAAGAAAAAAAGGAAGCACACCAAATTTTGCCAATTTCACTAGGTTTTACATCAAGCACAAAGTTCTCAGTCATCTGTCATCAGTAGGACTGAAGGTTTTTCATCCTCACTGAATTGAATCCTATAGTTTTGAATTGGGTCAGAGCTGAACTCGTTTTGAAAAGTGCATAGTCTAATGCCCAACACAGAGAATCAAAGGATTGTGATTTGTACCTTTTATTTCTAAATTTTAAGCAGTCCTTAAATTTCATTGACTAAAGCAGAATTACTCCAACAAACTCCAGCAACCTAAGTACCATATATGAAGGCTTTAAATAGAATATAAGTTATAGGGAATACTGTACTCAGCCCTTACAGCTCTCCAAATCCAGCATGCATTCTTGTTCATCCATTGGATACTTGGAAAGGTCCATGTCACAGGCCACTGTTGAGGTAATCCTGTTCCAAGCAAGAAGAACACCAGTGAGTTGAATTCAGTTAGGAGAGACCTTTGTAAATTGACCTGGATATGGTCCTGGGGAGCCTTCTCTAGGTGACCTTGCTTGAGCAGGGTGGTTGGACCAGGTGATCTTCAAAGGTCCCTTCCAACCTTAACTATTCTGTAATTCTGTGACCTTTCATTTTCCTTCAGAACTTAAGGACTGAATGGAAAACCCTGAAACCTTAATAATACTAACACAACAAACAATATTTTCAAAACCCTCAGAGCTATTGTCTTTACTAAGTGTCTGGGAAACCCGGAGTTGGGGGAAATTAAGAAAGGTCAAATGACTTGTATAATGTCAGAGGATGCTTCAGCTACTTCTGATGATAAAAAGGACTTTTTCTGAGTCAAATCTCCTCCCATCCCGTCCCCAAGATCATTACCAATACCTTAAGATGAACTCGGACTTACTATTTCAAAGGTGCGCACTCATTAAGTAATTTTCAGAATATTAGACAATTAACTTTTTTAAATACAGTTACTGAGTTCTAACAAGAACACTCTTCCAAAGCAGAGAAATGCTACTTTCTTCCCTTCAAAAGGCAGGGAAGTTGAGCCAAAATTGGGCTCACAGTTCCCTTAGGAAACAATGAGAGAAAACTCAATCTTTTCTCTGTATTCAGCACCTCCTTGCCTAGTGACCAAATAGTTATAAGCTTATCTTCCATTAAGGACATTTTAATAGTGATTAGTGATTGCTCAATGGAAAATGTGTTGGTGCTGCTGAAGATACCTTTCTGACAGTGCAATCGTTACAAAGCAAAGTGATCTCTGATAGGAGTGATGAGAACTTACATTTGTTTTGAATTAATAGTTATTCTAGGAAAAAATCCTAGGAAAACTTGAGCGCTTACTTTTACAGGCTTTTCAAAAAGTTAACACACGTGAGAGAGTGCACTTGAATTCACTTTTTCTTGCTCACCTGATGCTATATAAAATGACTCCATCTGGCTGGAGCCTGATAAGTTTGTTTTCCACAGTCACATCATGGAACCAGGCAGACTTGGCATTTACTATGAAAGTATCTGGCAACCAGAGCTTGTCCACAAACCGGCTGTCTAAGCCCAAAGTTTCATTGGTGTGGTTATAAGACAGACGGTCGTCTCGCCAGCTCTGGTGCAAAAACACTGTCATGGTATATTCCTATGACAACAGAAATCACAATTAACAGATGATGCTAAACAAACATAATGACAATGCCTTGGGACTTGGTTAAAAATAATTGTGTAAGTCTGGAAATGTAATAGCTGCTTCCTATTCACAAAAATATTTTTGTACTCAGACATCCTGCCCAAGCATTTACATTTCTTTTATGAGCTTTTACTACGTATAAACCCAAGAGATCAAAAAATAGTGTGATTCAATGACAGTGTTACATATACCTCGTTGCAAGAGCTGCATATTTGTCTAAGATGAAGAAAATCCGCTTATTTATGTCCATAAGTAAGACTTGCAGTTTTGAAAGTTTTTTAAAGAAAAAAAAGTCAGGTGAAGTTAAGCATCTTAATAAAGAAAAGGAATGGAGGGGAATCCAGATTTGAGGTTTTTAAATTAAATCTATTGTGTTTCAGAAATGTGGTTAATTCCTGCCTGTGCTTGGTTATGTATGTGATCTGCAATATGTTGTACCCTGTTGCTTTATTCAGAGATCTTTATGCAATAAGGAGCAGCATCTCACAACTAATAGTTCCCTCAGCATCTTTTTAGGAGTGTATGCGATGAAAAGGAATTTGAGCAGAAGTTGGAGGTTACTGCTTAAAGTTAGGTTTTCCCTTAATAAGGGCAGTTCTAACTAACTGTGGTAAGAAAGCTCACACGCTTTACATGGCTAAAGTCTTATAATTGCCAATTTCTACCCAAAATGTGTCTTAAAATACAATATTTGTTCTTTGCAATATTTTCTTGTGACACTCCAGACATGTTGGGAAATCTCTTCCTTCTTTAATTTTGTAGCAGGATATCCTACTTGCAACTATCTATCTATTTAGTTAGACTTCTACGCTTCCTGTCATTGCAATACAGATGTTCCTAAGTTGGTAAGTTTAACTGACAACATACCATGTTAACTTCTGAGATGTGGTCAATGCTGGCTACTTCAATTGCAAGAGCAACATTAACAGGAGGACCTGAGAAAAAATATTAGAAGGGGGTGACATGCATCATCACAGTGAGGTAATAATATAGATGATCTAAGACTGTTAATTCTTTTGTATTTCATATAATAAATATAAAAGAGTTCTCCATGGCAGATTACACTTTCCAAATGAACTCTTCCTTAGAGCAAGAAATTTCAATCTTTTTTGTAGCATGCCCTCAAGTCTCAACAGAGCACTTCTCTTCCGCTATAAAGGAACTGAAGTGCAATCACAACTATTGAAAATTATGGAATCCATGCTGGAAATCATGTTGTCTAGTTTAAGACACCATGACTTCAAGCAAATGCAGAAATCTTCCCCACTTAATGTGATTCAAAATGACTTCAGTTTAGATATTGATTGTTTTAAGAAGTGTATCAGCACAATTAGAGTGCATTTCTAATTGTGTTGTACTATAAAAAACAGTCCGATGTTTTTTGAGTGGCAGAACAAGCAAATTGTTGATCATTACTGTTTCCATTATCCAAGTACAAGATAACTACAACCCTTTATTCAAGTAGAGGATGAAGTTCACATAAATATCAAAGAGTAGTAGGATTGTCAGACATAACAGAGACATAATTCCTAAAGTCTCACCTCCAATCCCAGGCCTGAAATTACGTGCATACCCTTTCATCAAATCATCCAGGTTCGGCAACCAGGATATTTCGATGTTCGAACCTATGTAATCTCCAATGTCATTCATAGCTCTAGGTAAAGAGAACAAGTATTTTTTAAAACTTGGCCATCTTTAGAAGAAGAAAAATAACAGGAAATGGAAAACATTGGCCCCTATTACACCACCAGAAACCACCTACAGTGTAATCAATTAAGCATGACTGATAACTTAGTGGTAAAATACCATATATAGATAGGAAGACCATTTCAGATCACAGAATCACAGAATGGTTGAGGTTGGAAGGGACCTATAGAGGTCACCTAGTCCAACCCCCCTGCTCAAGCAGGGTCCACCTAGAGCACGTTGCCTAGGGCCCTGTCTAGATGTCTTTTGAATATCTTAAGGATGGAGACTCCCCAGGCTCTCTGGGCAACCTGCTCCAGTGCCCACTCACCCTCACAGGGAAAAAAAGTTTCTCCTTAAATTCTTATGTTTCAGTTGGTGCCTGCTGCCTCTTGTCCTATCCCTGGGCACCATGGAGAAGAGTCTGGCCCCATCCTCTTGACACCCTCCCGTCAGCTACTTATATACACTGAGCAGAGTCCCCCTCCAGCCTTCTCTTCTCCAGGCTGAAGAGTCCCAGCTCTCTCAGCCTGTCCTCCTGAGAGAGATGCTCCAGTCCCTTACTCATGTTAGTGGCCCTTTGCTGGACTTGCTCCAGTAGCTCCACGTCTCTCTTGTATTGGGCAGCCCAGAACTGGACACAGTACTCCAGGTGTGGCCTCAGCTGGCAATGCTCTTCCTAATGCAACCCAGGATACCACTGGCCGCCTTGGCCACGAGGGCGCGTTGCTGGCTCATGGTCAGCTTGTCTGCCACGACTCCCAGGTCCTTCCCTGCAGAGCTGCTTTCCAGCAGGTCAGCGCCCAGCCTGCACTGGTGCATGGAGTTATGCCTCCCTGGGTGCAGGACCCTGCACTCCCCTTGGTTGAACTTCAGGAGGTTCCTCTCTGCCCATCTCTCCAACCTGTCGAGGTCCCTCTGAATGGCAGCACAGACGCTCCTCCCAGTTTTGTATCAGCAGCAAACTCGTTGAGGATGCACTCTGTCCCTTCACTCAGGTCACTGATGAACAAGTTGAACAGTACTGGACCCAGTATGGACTCCAGGCATACTGCGCTAGCTGCAGGCCTCCAGCTCGACTTTGTGCCACTGATCACAGCCCTCCGAGCTCTGCCGTTCAGCCAGTTTTCAGTCTGCCTCACTGTCCGCTCGTCTAGCCCGTAATGTTTCTGATTAAATCAAATGTTCGGGTCAGACATTTCTGTTTAAATCAAAGTATATTTCAGGCAAGACTCTGGCATCTTTCTGAGATACAAGCCCAAAAGCACACAATTTTTTAGCATTTCCCCTAAAAAAAAAAAATCAAAGTTTAAAAGTACTTGGAGTTTGTTTTCATGTTGACATGAACAAATGAATGAAATAGCAAGTGGGGCAAGAATGGAAACTCAAGGGTGTATTTCAAGCTTAGAAATCTACAGTTCTACTGTAACGCTGTTAAAGTGAGCTCACTATTTTTTCTCTCTGACTTAGTGTAGGTAAAGAATACCTTACAGATGATAGGGATTTCCTATGCATTGAGGGAAGCTAAGAAGAGTAAATTATAACATTCTAAATCATCAAAATGCTATCAACATGCTTTACTCGCCTGAAGATTTTTATTCCCTGTCAGTGAGGTGACAAAAACTATTTTATCTGTGTACTTTGATTGTTAGAGAATCTATGGCAACTTAATTTCAGGCTCCTCTGAAAATGTCTAAATATTTTGTAATTAGCCTTGTGAAAGGCTCTGAGATGGACAAAGCAGGATAAAGAATTAAGTATTACAGAAAAATGAATTGTCTGGAAAAGTTATAGTGACCTGTCTCCAGTAACACCAACCACAAAAGTGAAATAAAGAATATGATACTCATTCAGTCGCTAACTTGGAAAAAAAGAAAGAAAGAAAGAAAAAGAAAAGAAAGAAAAGAAAAAGAGAGAAAGACAATGGAAGGAATTGCTCCCTAACTTTAAAGACATCTCAGAAGAGACTGAGACACTTTATATACTGCATACAGTGCATCTGGTGGACACTAAAATGCAGCTATCTGGGTAGCAGAACACAGCAGCTATCTGATAGCTCCTAGCATCATTGTGGAACAGTTTAGATCAAGAAGGGAGGTATATTTTCAAATGTGACAAGAAAAAGTAAAAATGACACAGCTGAAATTTCTTTAACGTCTTTGATACTGTAAAAAGTACTGTTGGCCCTCAGAAATACAAAAAAAGCAAGGCAAAATGGAAAGTATACAAACACCTGTAAGCTGCCAAGATATGGTCAAAAAGAAGATAAAAGTTTAAAAGGTGAAAGAAACAGCAGAAGACAGTCTGAACCACAGAAAGGGGCATCCCCACGGTCCTGAACTGTCAGGGAGCCTCCCTCAGCCCTGAAACTTAAGGGCGTTGTCCATGGCTGTGAGCCTCGGCAGGAGCTGCTCCTGGCGCTGAACCTCCGGGGGAAGGAAGTGGGTCCGTGGTTCTGAAAAGCGCCTGTAGTTTTGCGTGGTGGTGAACCAAAGAGGTGGCTGTCTATGGTCCTGGCAATTCCAGAACCTCCTGCAAACCTCAAGGAGCAGCCTATGGTTCTGCAGGACGAGGAGCTGCCCCTAGCGGCGAACCTGAAGGATCTGGCCATTGTCTAGAACCCTAGATGTGCCTCACGATCCTAGAAATGTGGGGGGAAGAGCACTCTCTGCCTTCCCGCAGGTATCCTAAATCCTACTTGTGCTGTTCTCCACTTGCCAGTATGAGGCAGTGCAGGTGTCCACACATCTGTCCTCAACTCTGGAGCTCGTAGGAATGCAGGCTGAGCATAACTTGCTGTGGAAAGGAGGGGTGCCATAATGCACACATCCTTTTGCAGTCACTCGTGGGACCTGAGTGATCCACCAAGCAGGCATTGGGTTTTGTTGGGGAGGTAACATGTTCACTGTCAGAGTTGCCAGAAATAAACCTCCATCTCTCAGGTGGTAGGTAGGCACATGCTTCTTCCTAATCTAGAGATGCTCCTTGAAGACATTAGCACTGCTTCTTGTTGTCATTTTCCACAGCCTTGTAGATACCCCTCAACCCTGCAGGTAGAAGGAATTATGTGGATATTCCCTAATCTCTTATAAACAAAGGCCAGCTCAAGCTGCCTTCATTAACTGCTTAAACTGACCTGGCAGACTTCATTCAAAGTAGATACATGCCTGCTCACATAATTCTTGCCAGCACTATGACTGAGGTGACAGAAACAGAAAAATGAAGGACTATGACAATTTCTACCACACCTGTTTGCAAAGGCAATGCTTGCCAGTGGTCTGAAAGAGGCACACATTTGAACACAAGTACCATGTATCGGAGCTGTCTGAGCACTGCTTTAGCAGCTTCCACTGAGCCCAGCAATAAATATGGCATTTAAGATAGACATACATATAGATGTAGATATATGTGATATATACTAGTGATATTTACTATATCACTAGTAAAAGAAGAGAAACTTGTTAAATATTGATGAAAGACTGCAGAGTAAAACTATAAAATGTTGTGATTTGGGACTTGCATAACTTTCTTAGAATGTTCATATGACATTGGCTCACATTAAGCACACATTTTTCTCCCCAAAGTATGCCAGTGCTGACATTCAGCTCAGTACGTGCAGTTATTGCCACCACAATAGCAGTATATCCTACTACAATAACCAACTCCTTTTCTCACAGTGGGCTGGAAGAGCCATCATTGATTGAGCTAGTGATGAGGTTCTTGCCATATGTGTATGAAGTTAATTATATGAGGGAGAAGTTCTGGGGTAACAATGTATGAATGTAAGTTCTGAGCAGCAGAGACACTGACAAATTGCATTAACAGAGTTGTCAAAGCTTAGTGACCTGTAAGTACAGGGACACCGCTCCAAAGTGAAATATCATTAGTTCACAGCAAAATGTTAAAACTCTTAAAACTGTTAAAAACTGTTAAAAAATATAAAAATATATTACATTGCATTTATAATGTTTCCTTGCCATAAGTAGATTGCTGTATGTTTATCTCAAGTGACTATCTCTCATATTTCACCAAATGACTTATCTCACATATTTCTCATGTTCCTGTACCTCTTCTGAGTTAAGGAAGAGTCAAAGCCATATTCTCAGCTATATAAATTGGAATAACATAATTCATTCAAGCAAGGGTTTTGGTGATGTATAACATCATGTTGACAGGGCTTTTTCTTTCTTTATTGGCTCTCATGAACTATATAAACACTTATTTCTATCAGACTGCTGTTTCAATCATCCAACTCTCTATAAAATCTCTTCAATAAAATCATGGTTTTGTAATACTTAGCAAGATCCAGGTACTAAGGTATGGCTTTCTTCTGCAGTACCATCAAACACTGCAGTTCATAAGTTCTTTCTTTTATTTTCTTTTATGTTTATTACCCTATTCTTTGAAATACTAAGGCTATCAGTTAATGCAGAAAACAAAGAATTTTTGAAATTAAGACCTGGGCAGATTAGAGAATATGGGGCTGTCTTGAAAGTACTTTTTTTTTTTAATGTACTTATTTGTGATTTGTAGCTCTCAGCCATAGATATCCTGATCAGTACAATATCTGAACCCCTTTTATAGGCAAAGAATGATAGTTCTTGTCTTTGCCTAATTACAGTAAATAATTGGAGTGTACTTGAGTGATTATACTCTATCTGCTTAAAAACTCCTTACATTTTCTTTTGAAGATGGGGCTTTTCGTCTCTTGCTGCTAAAATTGCAGCCAAGTTCTGTACAATGTTTTTAAACCAAATAATATTCATGTCAAAAGGTGGTTGTATTGTAATGGCTCATCTTGCAAGCCTGATCTATGAGGATGGGAGGATCTAGCCTGTGCTTACTGCGCATACAATACTTTGAAAGTGCTAGATACAAGTTTTTGGAAAATCAGAATACCATGTATGTTTGTGAGTACTCAACCTGAGAAAAATAATGGAAGCAAATTTTGATGCTTCCCTTTCACCT